CGTAAAAATTATTTTGACATTTGCCCAAAAGGCGATCAAGACGGGTGAATTGATTTTACAGAAAACCTCGGACTTCGTTCAATAATTAATTGTTGAACGGGGGAACGGAATGATTCAAATACATCTGAATAAAAAATTAAAAGAAAAGAAATTTTTAGACGAAGTGAGGCGCGGAAATTAATTTAAACGTCTTTTGGGAAATTAGATACGTCATCAGGAGAGATAGCACTCTAACCCGGGAACGGATCGAACCTCCGAAAAAAAAAAGAAAATAAAACAATAAAATGAAAGAAGGAAATTGAAAACAGGTCGAACCTCTCACTTCGATGTTAACTGGGCACTTTTTAAAAGAAATTGGATATAGTCGCTGCCAAAGAGAGCACTCGGTGTCTAGTCTAGGTCCAACCTCAAATAAAAAATTGCCAACGGTTTCCCAATGAGGGATGAAGTAATATATCCTGGATATGAATAAAAAATTTTCACTTGTCACACGGGTGTCCCAACCAATGAACTGGAGGGGGGTAGAATGCCAATGTACATGTTGTACTATTAGAACAAGGTGCGACTCGATGCCATTTTTATTGTGTATCTCACTCGGGACTATTTATAATAACCATTTTCTGTTTCACATTGTTATTGTTCAATCCACAAGCTGGTGGATTTTAAATACTCCCGAGTGAGATGAAAAATAACCTATCTTCGCCCATAGAGTCGCACATCAAGTCTATTGACAAGCATTCTACCCCACTAATTTATGCTTTTTCGGTAAAGCAAGATGGAAGACCAGTAAGCCCGAGTGGGGATTGCACCACTACAGCTGACTGTTTACAATTTAGAAATATAAAAAATGTCCTTCTAGTACCTTGACAATTAAAAGTAGATAATTCATTCGAAATCGACTCTAAAAATGCCCATTGTGATTTCGGCAAATATAAGAATATTTTAATCTACTCGCAATTGTTGAAAAACGGTAATTCCTGTGAAACAGAAATACGGGGGAACTTCTACATGTTCTCAGGAGGGAATTAATTGAAATATGCATTTTTAAATTAATTGAGAACAAAATTTAGTGACTTCGTCACAACAGCTTTCGGCAAGTTTGAATCTGCCCCAATCTGGACTTAAAAATTAAACTTAATATGCCATGCTTTATGAAAACTTACGAAATTAACTTATTGTTAACAGACAATTAAAAACTTATTTAAAGTTTCAATTTAAATACTATCTAGGAATTTTTATTACAGTTCATCATAGTTATGTGAAGCTCACTCTATCAGTTACATATTGTTAGAATTAAAGGAGTCAAATTAAGAAAATTAAATGGTTAAATAATTAAAAAATATGGAATTTATCTCCCTTATAAGTACACCTCATTATGATCTGCTACTTATACATATATTTTGGAGTCTTTGTCCAGATAACAATTATACATTCTTAGCATATTCTTAGTATATACTTTTAAAGAATACGTATATGCTGAGAATATACTTTATTTGCATTTAGTATATTCTCAGACTATACTAAGTATATATTACGGGACGTTGTTTATACTGAGCCGATACTGAGAATGTACTTCAAGTATATGTACAGTATGCAATAAGTATCTACTTTCATTTGATAGTTCGTTCTAAGTATTTAAATTTAGCATATACTAGGCGCCTTAATACAGGATGTTTCATTAATATTGAACAATAAAGAATAAGTGAATATAATGAATATCGTGAACATTTTTTAAATCTTTATTTCGAAAAATTCATACTTATCCTTATTTTCATTACAAATTATTTCTTTGGCCTTAACCATCCAATATTTTATTGTATCGATGGCTTGAGTTTCATTTGCTTGCTTCCTTTGGATCTTCATTGAACCTAAAAAATAAAAATTAATTTACAAACTTGATACATATACAAATTAAGTGTACCTACATAACTAAGGGAATAATTTAAATATTTTTGTCGAACGTAAAACATTAAAAATTGAACGGCATTCCACTAACAAAAACAAGTTACATAAATGATTATTATATTTAGTGAAAGTTTAAATATATATATTTTTTTAAATAACTTACCGCCATTTTGTAGTTTTCGTTCTTCTTTAGATAATTTTCTAGTTCTTCCAGTTCAATTTCTGACTTTACAGGATTCTTTTCATAGAAAGTGTGTATGTAATTCTGGCAACACTGTATTTTAGTTTCAATTTATCATTAGAATTAACCGTATTAATAAATTCACACTGACAATTAATATTTGGGACATCCTGTATTCTAACATCACTTGTAGGTCCTGTAAACTAAAAATATAGTGAAATTTGTTTATTTATATATAGAACACACGATGCAATTAATTTTTATTAATTTATTTACCTATTACAAGCGTGATCAAAAAATTTGTAGGTTATGTCACTCTTCTCTTCTATTATTTGCTAGCGAATTATCAGATCGGCATCTGGAAAAAATTCATATAGATATGTATATAAACGTGTTTTTACATGTATTTGGTGTTAATTTTTACCTGTAAGCATTAAGAACGTTCTCAGAATATAAGGTACATCTGGGTATATAACTTTTAGTATATTCTAAGAATGTCCTGTTATAGCACGTGCTCAGTATATACTTTAAAGGCACGTACTCAGTATGCTCATTAAAGAATGGGCCAAATTTCAGATTTAGTTAGTTTGGATAAAAATAAGTTCATTTAAGCCAATTTACCGTTGTAGAATTTTGCTTGCTTAAGAAGTTACAGGGTGAAGAAAACATTATTTTTTTCATTATTTTTACGATAATTCACATAATATTTTTTGAGTAAATATACCCAAATTTTGTGAAACTAAGTTTTTTTTTGGGTGATTCAAACGAATACCAGCTTTTTTGTTGCATTACATGTACAGGGCGTTCTAAAATGGCTTACCAATTTAGGATTTAGTTCAGATTTTTTTAGAATTGACATTTTGACTTGTTGCATGTTGCTAAAATGCATCATTTGAAGGAACTTAATTTAAAGTTAGTACTGCAAATGTATGGATTACTCCATAATTTCTTAATTTGATAATATTAAATCTAGTACGCAGTTGTCAAATGTAGTAGCACTGTCCGGATTAGTCTTACATACAAGCATCAGAGTTTTGAGTGATAAAAGTCGTTATTTTTATACAATGCCGCGACAAAACATTTTTTCTCAAACAGTGAAATGACCGATATGATATCAGTTTACGCCCAACAAGGTTTTAATGCACGCGCTTCAGCAAGAAGTTACACAGATTTGTATCCTAATCGTAGACAGCCCAACCGAAAATTGTTTTTATATCTATTCAGCAGATTAAGAGAAACACGAAGTTTTCGCTTAAAAAGAGTCAATGGACGTTATATGGTTCGAGATTTACAGCAGTTGGAAGAGGCATTTAATCTTGTTGAAGATGACCCAGCAACAAGTATCCGTCGTATATCTGTCAATGTTGGTTTATTTCAGGGTACTATGTCTAACATTTTACATAAACAACAATTATACATTTAACTCCAGTCCAAAATCTACTGCCAGAATATCTTTTAGCGAGAACCAATTTTAGTCAGTTTGTCTAGACAAGATCCATTTTTTGTAAATAAAATTATATTCATTGATGATGCAACATTTACGAGAAGAGGAATTTTCAACTACAAAATTGCTTAACATGGGCTGTAGATAATCCAAACAGTACAAGAGTGCGGCACTTTCAGCATGAATTAAAATTATTTTTTTTTTTTTGTATAGTCGAAGATAAGGAAATTTTGAACTTCCAGCAAAAATGACTGGAAATGATTACTTACATTTCCTCGAGTACAAAATTTGATCTGCTAGATGATGTTTCTTTAAATACTAGAGTTGGTATGTGGTATTTACAAGATGGCGCCCCTGCCCATTATTCCATAGCAGTACGAAATCATTTAAATAACGTATTTCCCCATCGATGGATTGGACGAGGAAGTGAACATCCATGGCCTGCACGTAGTCCAGATTTGAACCCTCTGGATTTTAATTTCTGGGGTTATATTAGACTCTAGTTTTTTCTGGCTCTACTGTTAATACCAGAAATGAATTGTGGCAAAAATAGTAATGGGGCTAATGTTATTCGACAAGACCATTCATTCTTCGCAGTTAGAAGAAATTTCTTGAAAAGATATAGAAAATGCATTGAAGGAAATGGCGGACATTTTGAACAAATAATTTAAAATGAATTTTTCGCTTTTGCTATTGTTCTTAGTTTGAAATTGTTAAGTTTTTCAATTTGTTATTTTTATACATTCTTTATCATTTATGTTGTCATATTTTTGCATTGTTTCAGTATCTACTAAATATTTAATTTCTGAATTAATTTGTTATAATTTATGTTTTATTTAACATTATTAAATTGAAAAATTTTGGAGTAATCCATACATTTGCAGTACCAACTTTAAATTAAGTTTTTCTTCAAATGATGCATTTTAGCGACATGCAACAAGTAACTTTTTTTAAAGCAAATTAAACGCTTTTTGAGAATAATTAATAATTTTTCAAAAATGTCCATTCTTAAAAAATCTAAAGTAAATACTAGATTGACATGCCAGTTTAAAACGCCCTGTAGATTTAATGCATTAAAAAAGCTGGTATTCGTTTATATCACCCAAAAAAACTTACTTTCACAAAATTTGGATATATTTATTCAAAACATATTTGAATTATTGTAAAAATATTAAAAAAAAAATATTTTCTCCACCCTGTAACTTCTTAAGCAAGCAAAATTCTACTAAAGTAAATTGGCTTAAATGAACTTATTTTTGTCCAAACTAACCACATCTGAAGTTTGGCCCATTCTTTAATGAACACCCTGTAACTTTCGAAAATATTATTTCAAAGTATATACCTACTAGGTTATGTTCTAAGAACATTCTAGAAACTACGTACCAAAAAGAACATAAACAAGACGCAAATATAATTCTGCAGTGGTGTTTATATACCTATAACGAAATATATATTTTTTGTTTCTTTCAGGAATATGGTTCTAATCAGTACGGATACTCAGTTCCTAGACCAATTCCAAATTTATACCCCATCAAAATACTTCCACCAAAACTGGACGGAAAAATTTCTAAAATATTCAATGTCAAACACGACGGAGTTGATAATTTAATCGAATTACTTCACGAAAACGGAGATCTACTTTTCGACATGCTTCGTCCAATTACAACGCATTTTGATTCTTCGATGTTACACCACTTAGAACATCTAAATAACGTTCATGATCTTGCTAGAGAAGCACCCGAGGAGCATGATATGCCACAGGGATATGTAGGTGCACCCTTACAACCGCCAGATATTCATTATGAAGAGATACCCACAATTCATTTGGATAATAATTCTAAAAATCCGACTGTCGGTACTATTATACAAATCCCGAATAACTATTACAACAATCGTTTTGGAAGATATGCAAGATCTATTAGTGACGAAAAAAATTTGAAAACTATATTAGAAGAAGGTACTAAAATTTTAAATTTTTTAAAGAAAATAGGTCATAACGATGCAAAAGTTATGATGATTACACGTCTTGGCAATGAAGTTTTGACGGATTTAAAAAATAAATTGGAGAAAAAGATTGAGAAACGTAGTGTGCCTGTAACTCCGTAAGTAATGTATTATTTTTTAACTACCTTCAGTTTTGTACCTTTTTCAATAATAAATGTTTTCAAAAGTAAATAGATCGTTTTTATTTGATGAAGGATGACGAAGTGCATTTGAAACCATTTTAAAGTATTTAGTATATGTGTGTGGCGGATTTTCATTAAAGATTTTGAAAAAATAATATAATTTTTAGATATTCAGAGAGTGTCTTCTTTTTCATTTATAAAAATGTTACATATGTTACAGTTAAAAATTGTTTTTGCTAAGAAAAGTCACACTTTGAACATGCATTGAACTAATTGTTACATATTCGTTTTCCAAGTTAAATTATGATTTTAAATAAATAGTTAAGTAGACACTCTGAAGAAATCTAGCAATTATTTTACAAGGCTTTAACTTGTAAACAAAAAGAAAAAACTGTTAATAGGTATACTAAATTTTTAGAAAGGAAAAAGAAGATATTTTCTGAATATCTAAAAAAATATATGTATAAATAGAAATAATTTTATGTTGCAGTAAAAAAGTGAAATATGTCAAAAATTGTTCACTAAAAATCCGAAATTGATATATCAAATACTTTTAAGTTATAAGCCTTTAAAATGATTTCAAAGATACCTGGTCAACCTGTATATTGCACCTAATTCATCTTCTTAAGAGAACAATGCAGAGCTGGGACAAGATTGTTTAAAAGAGCCTCCGAAAATTATTATAATTTTTGGTTTAAAAAAGTGAAACAGAGTTAAATAATTTAAAATGTAATAACATAAATATATAGACTAAGGCGCAAAGAAACAAATATTCTTGTATATTCAAAAAACAACACGGTTTCAAATTTAAACGAAATAATTGGAATTATATGTTTAGGTTGCAGATAAAAAAATTATTAAATAATTTTATGAGGAATAATTGACACATTATGAATAATTATAATTTGGTAAAATTTATTGCTTTATTAAAATGTTCAAAATTGTTTATTTAAAAGTTATTGAAGTTCTTAGTACTTACCTGAAAATAAAGTTCAAAATTGTAAAATATAATCAAATAATATTTGCAAAAAAGAACATAATAGTTTAAATATTCATTATTTTTAGATAAACGACTATTGAAAACTAAAATTTCAAAGAACTTTTGAAAAGTAATTCTAAAATAAAGTGTCTTATAAAAAATGTAAAAACTTTTGAAAAATTTCTTAATAAAGATCTTAATTTTCTCAGCTCTGATAATAGTAGATATTTGTTACTAGTTTCATTCTTTTACTTTTGTTAACATTTTTCTTTTTTTTTTTTAAATATCTCGGTACTTAACTGAAATTCGAAGTGTATGTCCTAAAAACATTCATTATTTCTTGCTGATCAATAAGTAATTTTCTTCAACCTTCTTAATCACTATACACAATAAAATAGCATGGTCGAAATCAACACCAAAATCACTTCGAAATCAATTTGTTGCTCAGAACTATAAACACAGGACCTTTTGGATCAAAACACAATAGACCGTCAGATAGTGACCGATTTAGATGCCCCATTTTCGCATTATCTGTTTGTTTCTCACTAACGACTATTTCTGACACGATCTGTGGCGTTCTACTGCGTACGCTTAATTATATTATTTATCGATTTTAGTCGATATGAGTTGAAGAATAAAGTAGCGTTCCACTTCCACTTTGAATTTTCTGAATCTCTCGCGGGCCGGATTGAATCTGGTGGTGAGCCGGATCCGGCCCGGTGGTCGGGTGTTTCCTACATATGATATAGGTGATACATTCTCATTACTTTTTCGGCTCCACAATACTAGAATAAGATCTGTGATGTTTTTTCTCTTTTAAGGTTGGCGACATTGACGTGTGTGTTTTTCTGGCATTATTAAACAAACATTAAACAAAAATAAAAATATATAAACATATATCTAACCACAAAATCTACCCACAAAATCTAACCAGAAAATCTTAACCATCTATTTTTAAGTATATCTCGTACTTTACTCCCCGCCATTCTCTTATGTCTGCTGCTTTTTCTTTCCAGTTTCTAATTTATTTTTTTTTAAATCTTCTTCCGTATTATTAAAATACTTTTTATATATAGTATTCTCAATATAGCTACTAAGAAGCCAATAAAAAAGAATACTGTTAGAAGTTAAACGAATTAAATTCAAAATTATTGTTCTTAAATGATGTATTACCCTGTATACTATAACACCCTGTATAGCCACTTCGCAAAACACGTGTTAACATGGTTTTATAATGTTTTATTAAATATCTCTTAAACAATGTTTAAAATCTAATTAATTAAGAAACATAATAAAGAATGTCTTTAACTGGCACAAATGCCTACTTGCTTGTCTTCGCTCGATCTAAATTCAAGTGTTCCGTTTTCTCTTGGATATTGAATACTGCAATTCCAAGGTCCAATATACACTTTTATGACCCGAAGCTTCAAGATATTATAATCTTGATAAAATATGCATAATATAGCCACTAAAAAGCCAAATAGTGCAGAAAATTATACAACTTCACCATTTAATAAAAAAAATCTGTAGATTTCCTTAAACTCAAACACCTACAATACAAGAAAACCGAAAACAAAAAATTTTAAGGAACGTTGGTCTATATATTATTATTCGCGATTCAAACTAAGTGATAAGCGCTCTAGAGGAAATTTGTATAAAGTCCCTATAAGTAGGATATCGTTCAGTGTTGCCAGAAGTAGTAAAATTTCGCTACGTCGTCGGATTTTAGCTCTTGAAGAAGTGGATAAGATCTTTTATTTAAGAATCAAAATGTGTGTCTAGTAATATGTAATCATACTCTATATTTATTTAAGAATTTTTTTTATAAAACCGATTTACTATTGATTTTTTTAAATTTCAGTTCATTTATAAATTTTGTTTTAAAATCAGTTCATCATTTGGCAACATTGGCGTTCGTGTTCATTGTTTACATTTTAATTTGTATCAATTACAATTCGAGTTTTTTCTTACTTTTTAGCTTTAAATTTGTTTATTTCTTATAGTGTCTGATAGTGTTTAAATTAAAAATGAAATCTGTGAAAAAGCCCCCAGCAAATTGCAATCTATATGGTGTTAATGTCAAAATCAAAACTGAAGTATTAATTGTCTTCCAAGGGCAAGTCGTAAAATTTTGTTTCTCATAAATGGATATCTACAAATTCACAATATTGAAATTTTGCAAAACTTTGTTTAGAATCAAACTATAATCTGATATGTGATGATTTCATTACCATTCACATGTATACAAAGTACTACACAATTCACTTCATAATATAAGAATAAGGATAGTAAGATTTTTAAATAAGTTCATCAATAATAAACGTTTGGTACCTGAAATGTCCTTTAAACCACATAATAAAACATGTCCTGGGTTTAGTAAATACATATTTCTATATATTCTTGTAGCAACCAATAGGTGAATATTTCCAACAAATTAAGTCATACACTTGATAAATATTAAATTTATGACGAAAGCACGATAACTAAACTTAAAGTAATACTAAATGAAACTCAAAAACACTATTACAATGAGAATATAATCTAAAAAGTTAAAAAATCACAAATACAAAATCCGCCCAAAACAAACACATGTATATAAACAAACATCCTACTTATAGGTGACAAATGACAGACGCACGAAAATTAATTTGAATCGTGAATAAAGCCCAACAAACTGCCCGCGTAGTTGAATACCACAGCTAGTAGGCGTAAATCGGAGGTATAGCGCGGGGTATGCCATCTTTCGGAGAGGATGTAAAGCCGTCGGCCCTGACTCTATATAAAATATTGGGATCGTCAAAGATCTCTACTTCTGATTGTAACACCAGAGGATTCAGCAACATTTCTGGTATTTGGGGGTAGCGTGCTCACCAGCGTCGGTGTGTAACTCTTTTTTACGTTAAATAAATTAATAAAAAAAATTCAGTTGTTTACGACCGAGACCAACAACAGCATCGAACGAAATAGATATTTAGTTCGCAAAGTGCTTTATGAAAACGCATATTTCATGAATTCTTACAAGACGTCTGGGTAGCTGTTCTTGAATTCAAAAGAATAGAATATCGGGTTTTCCTCTTTATCTGCAACGTACAAAATTTGTCTCATTCTTCCCTCAAAATTTCTACTCCCTGAGATTAAAGAATAGATATTCAAATGAAAGTATTTCTCGAGAACAAAAGAGGATAACTACTTATTAAAAAACATATATTGAAGGATTTTATTTTATTAACAGAGAGCTTTTTGTAGACTATTCCTTATAGTAATGCCGCAAGACGATAGATTCCCGTGTCTCGTCTCGTCTCGTCTGGTCTCTTGTTGCTTGTTTGAAATATTCAATTTAAAATTTAAACATCAGATATTCAGATTTAACTATAACACACACTTATTCTATATATTTAATGTTAAAAAAAATAATGTGTTTAATAAGGATTTTATAAATGCAAAAAAAATTAAATTTAAATTTAGTTCCTTACTTCTTAATTTATTTAATAGCTTAATATTAACACCAACAGTAGACCTCGCTATCCTTTCTTCGACCTATACTCTTTTTTAGTCTTTTCTCTTTATTGCTTTCGTGAAATTGCAATAAGAACCAGATCAGCTGCTAATCTATTTCTATTAAAAGACCATTTTCTATAATAGAATGTCTAACTACTCTAACTAAAATCTACTTTACCGTGTAAACGCCCGCACTTTCTTGAAGTTAGCAGCAAGTAATGTCTGTAGAGCACTTGCTGTAAAAAATTAATTTAAAAATTGCTTATATGTAAACAGTATAGTAAGTTACTCCCAGAAGTGTTATCGCAAGTTACTATCCCGTGTATAGTTGCATACCTGTCTGTCAGAATTGCGGCTCCAAATATCACCTCAACAATAATTAACGGTCCTGCATCCTACCTCCATGGGTCCTAGGTCCTTCTGGTAGTATGTATATAGATAGTCGTCTAGAAACATAGTCAATCTGGGTACTACCAGAAGGATAAAATGTCCTCCTGGTCCCTATGGTGTAGATTCTATTATTCGGTATGACAACATGATGAGACGATCCGGGTTTATTTGAGGGCCTCCAAAAATTATTTCTAACTGGGTATAATTAGAAAAACTCTTTATCAAATATTTTAAAAATCAAGATGATTATTATGTTGAAAAAGAGTTTATTAAAATTATTTTATATTAATTGCTATTCTATATTTTTATTTATTTTTAATATATATTTTTTTATTTTAAGTATTACATGTCAACCGATTTTGGTACAATATACAGAGATAAATGCAGAAGTTAACGTTTAAACAATATCAGAAAGAAATATATGTTAGTATAAGATAATTAAAATATCCTCATCAAGACAGTTTATTAGCATTTATTAGAAGAAGATCCCAAAATATCTTAAAATGTTTATGATAATTTACGTCTGATTGGCAGAATTTTATTATTTCCAGTTTGTTAATCGACCCTTCCACAAAAATAGATGTTTCAAAAACATTAGAAAACTTGGGCACGCTCGCCAAGACCATATTCGAGCATCAAGATACGCCCATGCTCCATGTGAGAAATTTGGTAGGCTCTACAAAGGATACAGTGCTAGCAACATTGAAAATACCAAATCAAAATTTTATAACACCTTCTGGATATGATATTGTAGACAATCCAAATAAGAATGAAGTTTTACAAAGTGAAATTCCTGAATTTTCGTCGAGGTTTGGGGAAGGAGATGAAATTAAATCGTTTTGGCCTCAGGAACTGGTTACGTCAACATTTCAACAAGTAAGTTAAATCGTATTGTTATATTTAATTCATTTGGGTATTCTGGCAATTTTCCAAACACACTATCAGCCTAGGTCAAATTATTATCAAATTTCCACAGACCTGTTCAAGCTCAGACTTGTCGACAGACTATGGTAAATCCGGAACAATATATTATACACGAACGCTAAATTTTAATTTAGCATCTGTGAGAGTTAACAGTTTTAGTTAAGTAAAAAACTTGGAAAGTGAAAATGTTGACACCTGTTTTATAGACACAGAGTCCCTAACTAATTTGTTAAAAATTTATAAAGAACATCCGACTCGTTGCAAGGAATTTTAAAATAGCAACTAATCATTCTTCCGGCGGAATTGCTTGCCTCATTACAGTGTCTTATTTGGTAAGTGTTCAGATTTGAACATTTTTCTTTATATTCACCAATTAAATTAACATCCTGTATATGAAATTAATTATTTATTGAATTAAAATGTTTAATTTCATATGCAATTAATAATTAACACGTTCCAATTTCGTATCTAATTCGATGTGTAAATTATAATAATAATGCTGACTTATTTCAAAATTATTTTCAAAACATTGAACTAGAGAGACTGAAATTGGAATAAAAATATTTTTCTAATGTACATTTAAATAATTAAATAATATTAATTGTTATTGTATATTGTTTATTCTGTGATAAATAAATGTAAATGCAAACGAAAAATAAAGAGATTGACTTTTAACATGTGGTAGTATACTTTACAAAAGTATCTCTGAAATGAGATTCATGAAAACCATCTTGTGGTATTAATTACAACAATTAAGCTTTGAAATCTATTCATGGTCCTTCGAGCCGGATGTTTAAAAATTTTGAAAAAACCTATGGAAGAAGCAAACTTCAACATGAAGAAAAACAAGAAAATGAAGTCTTTCTGCCAACCTCAATAACAAGTTTGACCAAATCCAAGCCAAAATCCAAGAAACAATCGCTTTAAAAACAACTCGAAGCTCGTGTCAAGCGAATTCGACAAGTATACAACCAAGGGACTTCCGCCCGCTTAAAGTTCTCCATATCCAAGAAGCACCAATGCTTTAAAAACAACTCGAAGCTCGTATCAAGCGAATTCGACAACTATACAACCAAGGAACTTCCGTTCGATTGAAATTCCACGTACTCAACCCCAAGAACGACCAACCGCTTTAAAAACAAATCGAAGCTCGTATCAAGCGAATTCGACACCTATACGACCAAGGGACTTCCGCCCGCATGGTTATAACCTTAATAGCTCTTCTTATGTACCCTAAGCCCATGATACAGTAAAAAGAAGTTATGATATTACTCAGATTGATGTTCCGTCACGGTGACGTATTGTGATGTAGAGACGTGGTTTTACGAATTTTAGGTATCAACTGATTTGGCCAATTAGGAGCCGTATTCTGCAACTATGGGAAAAAGGGTGTGAGTATTCTCTCACGATTTGGCCTTGCTGCGCATGTCACTCGACTTAAATTAAGGAATCATGTCAACGGCGAGAGCAGTGTTGCAAGACGCACGATAATTATCGTATTTGTACGATATACTGAAAAAAAGTTCTGCTGCATGCACATGTTTTTGTAATGTATTATTATATACGTACAATTAAAAATAATTTTAATTCCAGGGTGATTCACAAATCTATGACAGTAGTTTTTTTCAAAATCTCACTAATTCTACTGTGACGTCAGGGAAGCATATTTTAAAAATTACTAATCAGTATGTTATTTTGTCTACCAAATATTGCAAAATACATATTTCTTAAAATATGTGTATCTCTAAACCTCAAAATATACAAGGCGGCTTATTTGTTGGAAGATATTCTATTTTAATAAAAGTACAAAAACTACGAACACACTAAAATTTGCTCAGTATATAATAATTTTAACACCGTTTTAGGAGTTTTAAATCCGATACTATGGCCAGTTTTCGAGATAAAGTGGAGAATTGCTGATTTTAGTTTATTTTTTCTTCTGACAAATGGACGACACTTCAAGTGACGGAAAAGTGTAATGAAAATGGCGACTTGAGTCGTACATTGATTTATTTGAAGTCAATGCTACACTATCTCGAGTTTGACATTGACGTAAAAATGTAATACAAAGATGCGGACAATTTAGCATCATCATAGCATCTATCTCAATGAATAGAAGGGACACTTTAAAACAGTTGCGGCTTGTGACCAAAACACTGAAAGTTTTTTACCTACATCTGTACTGAGATCTACTGTGATCCCCAATCACAATATATTTTTGCAAACACTCAATAACTACAGTTGCGCCACAGATAAATTATTTCATTGAGTAATTACATTTTTTATATAGGATGAGCCATCCAGCCAACCACCAAAAAAAAAATATGTTTCGAAATTATTAAAAAGACGACCTTGTATTTCTTTAGTGTCTTTTGAGTAATTTAATAAAACATTGCATTAGGTGTGTAATAATAGGATTTTGAAATATATAGGGTAATATTACTGTTTCTATTAGAACACTCTGTGTAAGAAATGTCTACTGTATAATATTTTATTGCCAAAATACCATATTGTGTAGTATTTTTTAAAAATATGCTTTCCTGACGTCAATGTAAAAGGAGAGGGCACGTTTTAAACGTAAAATACCTTTCGGTCAGAATTTGTCGAAATTTTGATGTGTTGTAAAACTTGACCTATGGATTTCTGTTGCGCCAAAGCTCTAAGTTTAACAGTTTTTGATTTACAGGGTGTCCAAAATCACTATTTTATGAGTTCACATTATCATAAAATTCATGTTTTTGTCAATATTAGCACAAAAATAAGTGAAAACTTTTTATTTCTTACAATTAACTACAATTCTCTATTTGTTTTCATAATTTTTGTACCTACAACTAATATACAGGGTGAGACCACATATTTATTTAAAAAAAATGTACGGTGGAATTGTTTTGATATTTTGTTGAAAGGAAGCTAATACATAAATATTGCCAATTGAATTGTTATTATAAGTTAGTTCCAATAGACGTATGATGTACAGAGTGTTTCAATACTTTAACATTATTATTCTTTCTAGTCCATTTTCTGCAGTGGGATTCTAATGTAGGTAATGTATTTCTCTATTCAACACGTAACGTGTTGAGTTCGCACATCAGAATCCCTGTGCTGATCAACCAACTGAAATTCCCATGTTAAAATCAGCTATTTTCTATCTGTATATGCCTACATACTATTGACCTTGTGTATTAATTTATACTAGGTGTCCAAATATAAAGGGGCACAACCATATTTCGAATTCTTTAAATGAAAAACTCTTACAAATAATTAAAAAAACCAAAAAAGGTTGACAGCTGTGTGCACGTAGTTTAGATTCAAAAAGGAAAAACTTGTATTTCGTGCTAAACTTTTTTATTAATCAATGCAAAGCGCTTTCGGCTTATTTGCCATCATCAGTGCTCATCTACAAAAATTGTGGATGTAAACTTACAATTTAAAAAGATTTAAAAAAAATATATTATAAAATCTGAATTAGACTTTTAAGTCAAAAGTTAAAATAGTATATATACAATTGTTTGAACAAATTAAAAATTACAAGAAACAAAGTGACAAAAAACTGGTATTGGGAATAGTGAGTGTGGGATAAGCCTTTACAAATCAAATCTGATCTCCAGAAGCAAGTTAGCTTGTGTGGAATTAAGGAATCTGCCACCCTCACTATTCACAAAATTGAAAAAAGGTTAACAAATTAGTTAAAATTTAAAGAAATTTACAATTAGAGGGTGACTGTGGAAGATATATTGAAATTTGAATCTAGAATGCAATATTTGATATGAAGAAAGTAAAACGCAGAAGGCCAAAGTAAAAAAAACTGAAGGTTTTTTTTTTTTTATATGTTTTATATACATTATAATTATGAAAAAGTCTACCTACTGTCCACAACGTATCCAACAAGTTCCTGGTCATCCTCTAACTAACTAATTTGTTAACCTTTTTTCAATTTTGTGAATAGTGAGGGTGGCATGATTCCTTAATTCCACACAAGCTAACTTGCTTCTGGAGATCAGATTTGATTTGTAAGGGCTTATCCCACACTCACTATTTCCAATACCAGTTTTTTGTCACTTTGTTTGTTTCTTGTAATTTTTAATTTGTTCAAACAATTGTATATATACTATTTTAACTTTTGACTTAAAAGTCTAATTCAAATTTTATAATATAATTTTTTTAAATCTTTTTAAATTGTAAGTTTACATCCACAATTTTTGTAGATGAGCACTGATGATGGCAAATAAGCCGAAAGCGCTTTGCATTGATTAATAAAAAAGTTTTGCACGAAATACAAGTTTTTCCTTTTTGAATCTTACAAATAAGTTTCTAGTTTTGAAAAATGACGTTTTTATAGAATGATGGGCAAAAAGGTTTTAATATGCTAAATATTTTTAAATAGGGTTTTCAATAGCGTAGATTTTTTTGACAAAAATAAACACCTTACCTTTATTTTGCTGAACTAAGAAAAAGAAAAACATCAAGATCATGGTCATGGTTGTCCAAAAGTAAAGTTCAGATATATCTGAAAAATTTGAGAAATACGTTGAGAATAAGGTGTACATTGAACTAACATTATTAAAATTGCATTCTGTTATATAGGATCAGTTGGGAGGGAATTAAACATATTTTTAGATGGCATCCTGTGAGGTATCAAATGATTTTAAAAATGTATAACATGTTGGTTTCAGTTACTTTTTTTTTTTTTCGAAAAAATACTTAAAGATGGCTGTCCCACCGACTTATCTCCAAAAGTAACGTTCAGCAAAATTAAAAAAAATCACGAACCTTGAGAATAAGGTGTAAATTGAATGAAAATTATCAATATTAATTCCGCTATATGGATTTTAGAGGGGGGTTAAAATGTTTTTTCTGATAACGTCGTGTATGATATCAAATGAAAGCTCCTTCAAGCATGATTTTAAAAATGTATAATTGCTGTCGTCTAACTTTTTTCCAAAAGTAACGCTAAAACAATTGAAAAATTATTAGTGTTGAGAACAAAGTGCAGATGAAAAGAAAACTATCTAGATTGCATTTTGCATTCAGTTATTTTTTTTTATATACAAAAAATAAGAATGCTCTACTTTACGGATAATTATTTGTATTAATGTATTAACTATACTTTTTTTAAATAACTATATTGAAAGAATCTACGCAATTACAAACCTTATTTGAAAATATTCAGCACATTAAATAAAAATATTTAACTTTTTTGCCCATAAATCTATAAAAATTTCATTTTGCAAAACTATTTTAATGTTAACGAATGAAGAATTCGAGATATGGTTCTTTGTATTTGGACACTCAATAAAATTATAAACACAGGGTGTATGTAGGTATATACAGATAACAAATAGTTGATTCTAACATGGAAATTTCAGATGGCTGATCAGAAAATAAACTAGAAAGAATAATAATGTTAAGGAAATGAAACACTCTGTACATCAGACGTCTATTGCAACTAACCTATAATAACAATTTAAATGGAAATATATACCTATGTATTAGCTTCCTTTCACCAAAATATCAAATCAACCACACCGTACATTTTTTCTAAAAACATATATATGGTCTCACCCTGTACATCAGTTGTATGTTCAAAAATTATGAAAATAAATAGAGAATTGTAGTAAATTCTATGAAAAAAAAAAAAAGAGTTCAGTTATATATTGAGAATATAATAGACTCTTTTATATATTATCTTTGATTAATAATCAGTTTTACTTTATAAATAGGAGTAGAACCTTATTATTGTTGTTATTTTGAACTAGTTAGGTATTTGAGTTAGTTATTCGAAGTAGCTTTAGTTCAGATATCCATTTAAGTGTATTTTATACTTAATAAAATTTTTAAAAATAAAAGTTCCATTTTGGAATTTATAACTACTTATTTTTATGTCAATATTGACAAAAACATGCATTTTATGATAAACTGAAGTTATGAAATAGTGAAATCAAATACTGTGTAAACTTAGAGCTTTGGCGCAACGGATATATTTGATCCATGGGTCAGGTTCTGCAACACATTAAAATTTCGTCAAATTCTGACCGAAGGGTATTTTACATTTAAAACGTGCCCCCTCCTTAGTGAGATTTTGGAAAAACTATATACCGTCATACATTGGTGAATCACCCTGTAGATAAAAATATTTTTAATCTTACGTATGTACTAATGTATTACTAAAACATGTAGTAAACGTGTGTATACAACAGAAATTCAATCTAGCTCGTAAGTTTAAAAACAAAAATTTCGAAAACTAGGCAATTTTCAACTTTAACACAGTGTCTATTGAGTTGAGCCTATTGAAACTTTTAGTTACTAGGCTCAATACAATAACATACCAAAGTTTTAGAAAATTTGACCGGTCGCCACTTTACATAAGGAAATAAGTGCGACGTCCTTTAGATAATGAATGTGTAAGTTTTAAACCTACATATGAAATGATAACATTCAAGACATCTTTAAAAATAAATAAACAAAAACAATTAAAAATCAAAATCAGAAAGGATTACAAGAAATTATTTTTGAAACTTTAGCTGAACAAGAAGTGTTATTTTTTCTTTTGTTTTTTATGTGTGTACGCAATAAATTATTATTTAATTACCCTAACCCAAACCCAATAAACCCTTGAATTAACCAGCCTCCGATCACGTCACACTAGTGAGGTCAGTTTTGTACGATAAAATTATGAAAAAAAAAATTTTTTGTCATCTGGGAACACTGGTAATGAAACAGCGAGTAGGAGAGTGTTGCAGCGCTCTCATGAGTTCGAGAATAGGGTGCCAGATAGTCATATTCAGCACCACAATACGTAATGCGAGAACTAGATGAGATTTCGTCGGTTAAATATCATAACTTCGTAATTTTTTGTATCATGCCCTCATCCACTCTCAAATATTTTTTAAAATCTACAGAATAATATTCTCTTAACTCTTTTATTAGTTAGGGGTGGGGGAAGCCATATGTGAGTACAAAGGTGTAAAGAAAGGTCCTTTATTTCTCACGAAGTCAATTTATTGGCGACCGGTTTCGAAGTGATTACTTCTTCATCAGGCACATCTAAATGGAAAGTCATGGAGTCAATGTATTGAAGGTGAACATTTTTTAATACAAAAATATTATGTCTGGTCAGAAGCTCATCCTGCGTAGTGTCAATAATAGGGTATCTGTTATTCAATTTTAAAATCAACGCTAAACTGATTCAAACTTAAAGGAAATAAATTCCAATACACAAAAAAAATGAAAAAGAAAAATTAGAAAAACTGAAATACCGTATCACAGAATCATCGAGCGTTCATTTCCCTCTGTAAAAGAACTACTACAATAGAGATTGAATTATATCTAAAGAAAAACAACAGATACAGAAAAAAATATATTTTCAATAATCTAGCTTTTATTTTGCTTACTAAGGAAAACGTTAATTTTGGACCGGTTCTGTCCTTATTAGTACTCATCAGTCAACTTGTTAGTATAGAGCGTAATATGGACTGTATCTAGTAATATGGACTGTACTCTAGTATTCCAGATTAGAGCAAATAAAAGGATAATATGTTTTAATTGTCAAAATATTTAAGATTTCTCTACTGATTCTTTCAATGAAACCGCACATTTTAAACGAGACTATTGACGCAATATGGGGAATAAATGAAGATTTTGGATGAAAACTGATACGAAGACCAAGAAAACTATCTAAACATTGAAGGCTTATTTCATTTATTTCATAATTAAATAAATCGGGGATACACATGATTGAAAAAGATATAACGTTACATTTAGAGATAAATTATTTTTATTGTACCGTACTCATTAACAGGTAATTAAGTTTTGATATATCAGTCATCAAGATGAGAGCTTGATCAAAAAAAAGTTTTAGATAATTTGAATAAAGATGACACTTACAATCAATGACATCCACAATGTCATCGATAAACACATTTAATAAGAAGGAGACTAAATCTGACCCTAGAAGGACTCCTAATAATGCAGGGTATTCAACAGATTTAAACCGATTGAGAAGGTAGGATAGAAACAGTTTAAGAACAGAGTAATAAATTCGTTAAGATCTTTCACTTCTTAATGATCCAGTTTAGTGCCTCGTACTCTTTATCAAGAACTGGTACCTCCTCCATAATTCTTGCTCTGGGCCTACAGTTGCTGTTTATTGGCCTGGGTCCTCATGTTTTTAGTTTCCTAGAGGACATGGGAGACACAATAACATGGTTAACAGCTAATAGTACACCCGCTAAAAATACACACATCTAGTAGTACATATTAGATTTTATTGAATATCTACTTCATTTTACCGAGTTAATATTTTTTCATTATTTTCTTGGATTGCATAACTTTCGCATACACAGCTATTGCACTGATTTTCTTTGTTTATCTCTTTATTGCTATTACCGTTTTAATTAATATCTACATAAAAACATTATTGTTCAGGTTGGTCAAGTGATCCGCAACAGCGTTAGATCAAGCCAAGAAGCCATAAATCATGTAGGAGAAATAACGAACCATGCCAAAAAAGCCATATACAGTGCTAAAAAAGCTCCCGAAATTATAATGCAATCAATCGCACCAATACCTTTGATGCCGTCCACACAAAACGTTGGTATTGCATCAAGATTTGGCGGTGAAGATGACACTGTTGGAGATGTAGAGAGTAAGCATAATTATTTTTTTCTTTGATCCCATTAACTAACTATTGTTTTTATTTATATAGAAAAACCTGAAGGAAAATTTATTAACATGGGTCATATTTTGGATGCTGTTGGTATCTCCAATCCTGTTAGAGAACTTCCTAAAAGTTTAGATGACGAAGGCTATGCCAATAAAATTTGGAAAGATTTGAATGGCGTAAAGGACAGTTTAGGATTCAACGATATTCACGATTTTGTAGTTCAAATGAAGGAAAAATTACAGGAATTTAAACATAGTAATCCTTTGAAAATAAAACAAATTCAATGTGCAGGAAAACGATTTAAAAGAAATATTGACGGTAAAATTATTTTATTAGGTTCATTTTTCTCCTTGTTTTTTTCTTCTACATTTTCTTTTTCTTTTTTAGTTATCATTTCTGTTTGTTGTCGTTGTGAGTTGTTATTATTTTGGATGAAACAGCTCTGAGAAACTCAATACAATTACATCTATCATACATTTATAAACTAGTAAATAATATTTTTATTTTTCTACTTCTCTGTATTTTTCCTTTTATGATGTTTTATATTAATTGTTCTTTCTCCTGTATATGACGTCACTCCCTAAATTGTGACGTCACGTCTTGATTATGTGCGATCCACAAAATAGCGTGGTTTGTTGCACCTGGTTTCACGGATCTATTGTTCTCTCTTTTTAACTACAGGCATTTGTGGAAACGTCTAGTCACTTTGGTGCTCAATCAGCATTTTGAACCAATAGGAACTCGACCAGACAGAGCGCAGTAGCGCAACAAAAAAATAGAGATTAACGTACATGAAAATAATAAAAATATTAAAATTAAATATATATTTTTATGTTATTTATGTGATTTTAAAATAATTTGTTTTTATGAAATTTAACTCGATGTTCACTGTACAAATAAACCAATGAAAAAACGCCCGTGGGTGTGTTATATATTTTAATGGGTCCTTCCTTCATAAGATATTTTTATTCACTTATATTAATTTTTGCATTTCGATTTCAAGTCTGTTAATCCTAGTATTCGTATATCATCATCTAGATCCTCTCGCCATCTCTTTCTCGGTCTTCTCTTTCTTATTTTTTGTAGGATTCATTGTGTTATTCTTTTTAATAATTCTGTAGAATTTCTCATCATTACAGCCATGTCTTACGATGGTTTTACCTCCAATTTCATCTTCAAATTATTGGTCTTTTAGTCTCCTCTCTCCATTAACTGTTTATTTTCTTTTGCCTAGTATGGATCTCATCCTGGAGCAAGCAAAGTTTTTTTTTAATGACGAATTCTGTGTCTGAAAACTGTATCCGCCAATTCCCCGCATCAACAAGTATTTGGTCGAAATATTTTTTGTCTCTAATTTTAAAATTTTTTAAAGCTTCAATTGCAAAATTAATATAATCTTTGGTTTACATAAATTTAATTAGTAATATGAGTACTAAATATAAAAGTTTTAAATGTTTAATTTGGGTAAAACCAGATGCTTCGTCTCTTCGTGCATCGTAAATTGTACCAATCTGGTATCTAAAAGGTTTATTTGCATCAATTCGACTCTCTCATTTAGTCTCCTAGGGCGGGCGATAAAGTAGTTCGCGGGCGGTAAAGTAGTCCGCGGGCGATGAAGAGGCACTTTACGCCCGCTAAATGTATTTATAATCTGGACTTTATTGCCCGGTCGTGCGTAAAGAATATTTTTGGCATGCCAAATGCTCTTAATAAATTTTACAGCTATTGTATTCAGTGTGTTTTATATGATTTGAAATATAATTTTGATAAAAACTATCTAATGCTGGCAGTTTTTATAGATCTTCAACGGGCATTTCAAACTGTTGATTAGAACCGTTTGATAACAAAATTAAAAAGTACGGGTATAGTAGAGCAAGCATTGGAGTAGTGTGTGGATTATATAAGTAACAGGAAACAATAACAATAAGAAATTCGTCAATAGTTACATCATTGAAACGCACTTTTGTCTTGATATTATCCAGTGTCATTATCAACAGCTTTAAAAGTTTTTGGGAAAGTTTTGGTCTGGCAATGGCAATAAAGTCAGTTGTGTCCAATGCAGCACCAGAAGCCAAGTAATTAAGTGGCACTGTTACTTATTAAAAACAATTAATTTTATTTAAATTTTCATGCAAAATGAAGAACTTTTGAAATTATATAGTCAGTAATTCATTTGTGGTTCTACCATTGAATCACCTACAAATTCCAAAAGTGGGGTCAAAAAAATTAAATTTCGAATTTAAGGGTTTAATTTTACGTTACTATTCGCGTTTTTTATACAGAATTTATTTTACTCTTATCATAATTTGATCTCGAACCTTATCCTTTAGTATTTTATTGATTTTTGTTTCAGTTGCTCGGAAAGTTAAATTTTAACAAGCCTATGATCTGAGGCAATTTAGTGTTCTGCGAGCTATATTACATGGATCAATAGGGCATTTATCTACAAATACGGCTTTAATTTGTTGTATTGTCTTATTATCTCCTAAATCTTCTAAATTATCTCTCTATATAATAACATATTTTACAGATCAATATTCACATGAAAACCCTTTTGAAGAAGGAACCGACTTTGACTCGTCTCAAAACCCAGACACTCTTGGTATAAGTTTCATCCCTCAAGGTTTAATTCATCCATTTTTGAATCTTCAACCTTTTGTTCTTGACAGAAATCAACAAGCGAATCCAACAGAATTTTTCCGCCATGCTGAAGGTAGAACTGCTCACGAAGGAAATTTGGATAAAGTAATTCGTGAATTCTCAAAATCCGCTCCGGCGAAATGTCCCTTTGCACAACAGTTTGGCATATGTCCACTTAATTCACTAATTTCGGAGCAACTTAAAAAACTATCAGATGAACAACATTTGGCACCGTTTCTGGGTGAATCTAATCCGGAAATGATGGAACAACCATTTAACCAACGTATTAGAGAAAGTGACGTAGTGCGATCACCAGATGAGGATTTTAGACGAGAAGAAAACCAACCATTTGAACCAATTGTAGGACAAGATTTTTATTCAGAAATGCGTTCGGAATATGATGAAAATGGATACCCATTTTATAAATAATTTTTTTAGTGTGTTACATTTTTAATAAAAGTATTTTAAAATGATTTTGTGTTTTATTTCAGAAATGGTATGGATGTGTAGAAGGGCCACAAAATATACATTTTTTATTGTTTCTTCTTAGTATTCGATTTTTAGGACTTACAGCTCAGGCTAATAGATAACTTTAATAGGGACGGTACCTCTTTTTACTGCATCTAAGCCCCCATTTGCCTCTGGTTCCGCGAACGTCCCCATAAAAGACAACAAAGTCCACGTAGGGGCGGTATAGTTTTATTTTGATGTTCCTCAATTCTTCTTATCTGCGGATTCATAGCCTATATAGGCCCTAATTTTCCGAGTAGTATAAGGAGTCTAACCTTCCAACTACACTTTCAAGAGGGAAACTGCCTAAAATTGAACTATAAAAAAAATTACACTTAAAAATTTTGTCTACTTGGTTACATAAGTTTCGGTTAGTCCGGTGTCAACCTTCGGACCTTCGACGTCGCTCAGACGGTAGCTAGGAGATATAAAAATTCCGGAAATAGTAGACAAATTCAAGGGCCGCAACTGGGTCCCTATAATGGCCAAACTATGTACTTATTTCTTCACCTTAGATCATTTCCCACAAAACCAGTAAATGAGCAAAGAAATAAAAGACAAACCTCAAACTTATGTTCCTTTATATTGAATTTATCCAACTTACCCAATTATGCAAAGATTAACATTTTATAAATTAATATTAAAGAAACTAACAAACCTAATATGTTTATCATTAAACAAAATCAACAATTAATGTTCAACAACTAACTCAAAAAATAAACAATATATAAATTGTTTAAGAACTTTACTAAAGAAATTATTCTACAGCTTAAGATGAATTCTTAACTAAATAAACTAAATAACTAAAAAAAGTAAGAAAACGCATATATTATATCATACGCATACGGATAATTTGCGCAAGATGTTAAGTAAAATATTAAATTTTACCTTTTTATAACTTCACAATACTTTAAAAAATATATAAATCAACACGTGCAACCCCGCACCTATTTATAAACAACATCTTCAAATGTTGAAATACAATATATTATTGAAGTGATAAAACATTATTGTAGTTAAAATAAATTAAATAAATAAATCACGAAGACATATGTCGAAAAATAAAATAGGTGCCCACTGCAAATTTTTACCGTCATCTGATAACGAAATGAAATATACCCCAAAAGCATGTAAAAACATTGTACTTTACCAACTGCCACTTGTGCCAATCCCAATCCTGAGCAAAGTGGCTAAAAAATTTATATTAATAAACATATGGCATGACAGCGCTAATTTTGTTTGCCTTTAAAGTTTTCCAGAAAATAACATTCAAATATATCTTCATATAAAGAAACTTCATTGGAGCATCCCTTGTTAAGATACAGCCCCTTAAAGGGGGTACATAAAATTTGTTTAACAATTTTTTTCACAAGCACTAAACAAGTTATAATATTGAAATTCACCTGTCACTTTCTACTACCAAAAAAACACTTAGCCAGCAATTTATTTGGTTTACCCCATGGTTGTAAGGGGTGGAAAACGAAACCCCTAAAATTTCGTTCCAACGTAACTTTTTGTCTTATTATTTGTTTACCATTTATTTCCGATAGCCTGTTTCATTCTAAACAAAAAATGTCTCTTGAATTGTTTGCCCAAAATAAACCAGTTCGCAGCAAAAAATTATTTTATGAATAACTACAGAGATACATCGTCATAAATGCGAACTGGATTTATTGTTATTTTGTAGTTACTACCTGCATTAAATGATTAAAAAGGGGAATAATCAAAACTAATTTATTAATAACAAAACATACAACATGTAGAAATCATAGTAATCATAGAAATCATAGACATTACGCATGCGTCTAGACGTCGGCGCATTGAGCCACGTAATCGCTCAAATAATCCTGGAGTCTCTCTAATTACACTGCACGCATCGATGATGCGTTTCTTAAGTCCTCTACATCGCAAACAGGAGTACGATAAACCAAATGCTGCAAATGACCCCAAGTATAGAAATCGAGAGGATTCAGATCCGGGGATCAAGCGGGCCAATTCTGTGGTCCTCCTCGACCGATCCACTGATTTGCATATGTTTCAGTTAAATGCTGACGTGCTACTTGACTAAAATGGGCGGGAACCCCATCATGCATAAAAACATATCCCTTCTGACGCCCAAAGAAACTTCCTCCAGCAGTACGGGATGCGTAATCCTAGCATTTTCATGTGATTTTGCATTTCGTCTATTAAGATCAATATTATCCTTTAAAGATCTTTGTCTTTTAGGGTTGTTTGGTATCTCCTTCTTGGATGGCCTTCCAGCTTGAATGCGCTTTGCGCCGCATGATAAAGCACACTAATTTTTCTGCGGCTAACTGATGTTGGCTGTATTGAAATGTTCCTTTTTAGTGCGATATTTTTTGATATGTGAACAAAATTAAATAAGCCAGAGGGCGTCATAATTTTTTTTAGAGTTTTATTAAATTTTTTTATGGCATTAGTCATATCAACCGTTTTGTTTTTGGATGCTATTTTACTAATGCGTTCAAAATGTTCTGATAGTTCTGTTGCAGCTGCGGAATGCTCTTTATCTAAATTTGTATTATTGTTATCCTCGACAGTATTGATTATTTCGATAGTAAAATTATCCTGTTTTTCAACTATGCTTTGTTATTCTGCACTAATTGGCAAGTAATTTCTTATATCCACATCAGTTGACATGTCATCATACAATTCTGGGAATATGTTCTCTCCTAATTTTTGCTCTTGCTAATTCTTTTCTGTCATCGCTGTTTATTTGCATACAGTTCCTAACTGACAATAATTCAAATATTCAAAATTCAACTCAACAAGCAGTTACTGGTACAAGCTGGTGCTTCGGCAGCATAAAAACGCTCGATGTTGAGTTGGAACGCGGTAAACAATGCCTCAAGAATGGCAGCGTATCCATAATACAATAGTTACTACGTTTGAATACCTGCCAGTGCTGAGTCGCAGTAAGATATGTCTAGGTATTGAGAGGCGACTGTTCATTCATTCTTTACTGCGTTGCAACAATATGTATGCGTTGCAGCATAGTAAACAATGCCAATACGCGTACGGGATGCACTTCTCTTAAAAATTGAACGTATGCCTCACCATTTAATCGAGGAGGTAGAAAAGGAGGCCCAATTAAATAATCACCAATAACTCGGGCCCACGCGTTAAGAGAAAAGTGTTCTTGATGGTAAATTTCGACAATAGCGTGAGGGTTTTCATCAGCCCATATGTGGTAATTATGAAAATTAATAATCTTGTCCCGAGAAAAACTACATTCGTCTGTGAATTCGATCGTCTTCAGAAAGTCACGATTTCTTCTAATAATTTTCAGCATCCAATTGCAAAATTCAAGACGGTTCGGAAAGTCTCGCGGTAACAGTGCCTGTACTCGTTGCAGACGGTAAGGGTATAAAAGATGTTCCTTTAAAATTCGAAATACCGTCATATGATCAACATTTAGCTGGAAAGCAATCTTTCTAGTACTGGTAGTAGGTAGTTCTTCAATAAAATTAAGTAGTGCTTCCTCAAGCTGTGGTGTTCTTACTTCTCGATGGCGACCACAATCGTGCGTTCTTTTGTTGAATGAACCATATTCTCGTAATCGTTGATGAAGTCGGGCAAATATTCTATGTGAAGGATGCTGCCGTTGAGGATACATTTCAGCATATCTTCTAGAAGCTTCTAACCCATTCCCCTGCGACAGACCGTAAACATAATGCATATTAGCCATTTCTTCATTTGTGTATGCCATTTTAATAACAAGTGAATTATTAAAGTAACAAATTACGAACAGAACAACAATACACAATTAGTATTACTTAAATTTCAAAAATTTACAAACTGATAGCTTGATTTCAATATAATTGTCAGTATCGCTAATAGCGGCCTACTAGATAAATTAGTTTCGTATTTTCGTTTTATGGCGATATCTATCTTGTTCGTAAAATAATTTTTTGCTGCGAACTGGTTTATTTTGGGCAAAAAATTCAAGAGACATTTTTTGTTTAGAATGAAACAGGCTATCGGAAATACATTTTTAAATGGTAAACAAATAATAAGACAAAAAGTTACGTTGGAACGAAATTTTAGGGGTTGCGTTTTCCACCCCTTACAACCATGGGGTAAACCAAATAAATTACTGGCTAAGTGTCTTTTTGGTAGTAGAAAATGTCAGGTTAATTTCAATATTGTAACTTGTTTAGTGCTTGTGAAAAAAATTGTTAAACAAATTTTATGTACCCCCTTTAAGGGGCTGTATCTTAACAAGGAATGCTCCAATGAAGTTTATTTATATGAAAGATCCTCTTTTTTTCGATGAGGTATCACCCCCTTAAATGTTTTACACTTATTTAGTTACACCCTGTATATATCGTTAATAGGAAACATTTTCTTCCTCTTAACATCGCACAAAAACATCTGTCCACGATTAGTAAGTAAAACTGATTAAAAATATGAATAAATTTTAGCTGATTTAAAAATGTATTTGTATGCCTATTGTTGTAATTCATTTTTACAGGTGGCCATAGAAACGACAAAAAATACTACCATGATTTTGGTTTAAAAGAATTGTCTAATAAGAGTTTATAATTATTATTGACTATCTCTGCAAATGATTTATACAATGCTATCCTTCTTCCTTTTACACATACACATGGTTTACATGGTTTAAAAGGTAGGTAAAAATATTAATAATTCAGGTTTAAAAGCTAGGTTCACAATGAATTAAGATTGTAATTTTCAGGGCAAACACAATTGTCGCTGTCATGTCTTATATGTGATATTGTGAATATAAAATAATTTTGTTACATGCCTATAAAGCATATTTTATTTCGTTATCAGATGACGGTCGAAATTTGCAATGGGCTCTCTTACTACAACCAATACAATATATGACAACCGTCTATATTCAAACAGCAGTCTTCTGCGTATCCTGAATTGAG